ACAGGCAGTCGCCAACTTACAACAGAGTTCTGTTCCGACGACTACTCCATCATTTGTAAAGTTAGTGCTGACGCAAGTTGAATACCTCATTTTTTTGTTTTAGTTTTCATTATTATTGCCTTTTCTTATCAGTATCTTTATAAATCCGATCTTTATTTGTCTCTGGGGATTGAAAACATTACCTCTGAGAATGGTAACATCATCAAACCACACGATACAACACTGTATATGTGGTATGCACTACTAATGGTAAGATGTTAAAAACAAAAACGGACGGTCAGTAATGCAGTTCATCATAACCTGAATATGTCATAGTTGGGGACCACCTGTAAATGAAATCACAGAATATGTGGCCTTTTGTATCTAGTTTTTTTACTTAGGATGTTTTCAAGGTTTAACTATGTTACAGCATGTATTAGAACATCATTCCTTTTTATGGCTGAATAATATTCCACCATCTATTCTTGAATACAGGGCATCTATTTCTGAGTCCCACTGGCACAGTAGAAAGAGCTATCCTCAGTTGTTGGTGTGGGTGCTCACTGAGAACAGATGAGATGGAGTTGACAATATATTCATGATGCTATTTATGGTTTTAATTTTGATGATCCTAGATCAAGCTCTTTGGTTGTAAATTAGTATCAAACTCTGTGAATAACTTGGAAATATGAATATCTCAGTTTTAAAGAACAGGAGACAACTGTGCTACCTAAGCAGCATACTGCACAAAAAGCCGTTAGTAACAAAGCCAGAGAAATACTGGCACAGGCTCAGAAAGGAGACTGGCAGGAACAGGCAGGAAAAGAAACAAATCATTCTGAATGAGACTGTTCCTGCTTGAGATCCTGTTAAGAGTACTAGGTGACTTTACAGAGTTATATGAAGCTGAAAAGAAATACTGTTTATCCCCAAGACTGACCCATTCAGCAATAATTAAAATCCTTGCATGGCAGAGTGGGCTTATCCTTTTCAGCAGTTCTCACGGGAAAGGCAACTGGCCCAACCCCACATCTCCATTAAGCAAACTCAGGGTGCAACCTGCATCCGCGAGATAAGTGCTACATGTGTTCCAAAGGCCAGCATTTAGGTGTCTAATATAGTGTTACTAAGTCAACAGGAAGACGATAAAAGCAGCAAGTTCTGTGAGGACAGAAGAGCATTGTGATCAAGTATGACACCTGCTGGCTGACCAAGAAGAGACATAAATATCTTCAGTCTGCAAATATTCAAAGCTTTTACATCATAAAATACAAAATAAAACAATGAGATGCCATTTTTTGACCCTCAAATTAGCCAATGATTTTTTTTTTTTTTTTTAAAGTCATAACAATATGCTGGGGAGGATTCTGGGGAACTAGCATAAAGGTGATAAACTGGTAACACCTTTCTGAAGGGCAGTTAAGCTTTGCTATTAAAAGAACTCACATTCTCTTTAACTCAGTAATTCCACTGTTAAGTTTATTTTAGCAGTTACCACAGACATGCTCCAAGATTTAGCTGCAAATATGCCTCCCATGCAATTGCTTATCATAGCAAGAAACTGGAAATAATATAAACATTAAAAAAAAAGTGAGAGTTAATAAATCAGGATACATTCATATACTTAACTACCTGGCAATCACTAAAAAAGGATGAGATAGATTTCTATGTACTGACAGGGAAAGGGGTACAACACTTATTGTTCAAATAAAAGAACGGTTTATATAAAATTTTGGTTTAAAAGAAAAAAAAAAGTTCCCCACTATCTTAGTTATCTAGTGCTGTTATAACAGCAATACCACAAGTAGATGGCTTTAACAAACAGAAATTTATTCTCTCACAGTCTAGAAGGCTAGAAGTCTGAATTCAGGGCACCAGCTCCAGGGGAAGGCTTTCTCTATTTGTAGGCTCTGAGGGAAGGTCCTTGTCATCAATCTTCCCCTGGTCTAGGAACTTCTCAGCGCAGGGACATCAGGTCCAAAGGATGCGCTCCCCTCTTGGCTCTTCTTGCTTGGTGGTACTAAGGTCCCTTTCCTCTCTGCTCGATTCTTTTGTATCTCAAAAGAGATTGACTCAAGATACAACATAATCCTATAGATTGTGTCCTGCCTCATTAACATAACTGCATCTAATCCTGCCTCACTAACATCATAGAGGTTAGGATTTACAACACACAGGTAAGTACATAAAACCCACAAAATGCTAGACAACCACACAATACTGGGAATCATAGCCTAGCCAAGTTGACACAAATTTTAGGGGACACAACTGAATCCATAACACCCCCCCAAAAAAATACCAAGCTATGAACAAGGTAGTCTCTGAGAGAGTGCAATTATAGCAGAATTTTCACTTTCTACCTAGTTCTGTCTGCACTGAAAATAAATAAACCAACTTATTTTTAAATTTAAGTGGGCAAATTCACAGAGCCAGGCAGAATTCATAGGAAGTGAATACAATTTAGATACCAAAGAGAAGGAAAGAACTTTCTGTGTCCTATACTCACAGAGTATGAGGAAGCCTGAGCCCTCAAATCACCATTCCTTATCACCACCCTTCCCCTACCCACCTCCAACCTATTCTGAGTTTCTGGTCAGTGCCCTGGCCCATTACCCACAGAGGCTACTGCGAATCTTCATACTCTTTCAAGTTCCCTTTCCCACTTCTGTGTCCTTACTCTCAGCAGATGACTCCACATCCTACATGTTACAGGAAAAAAAAAAAAAAAAAAAAGGCCACTAAGTAGGAACACCATCATCTTCATGTACCTCCTCCTGCTCTTTCAAACACATCGACATTTGTACAGACAGTAAAAGTGATGGGGACAAGATGTTTTTACTTTCCTTTTACTACTGTATCATGCCCCTGTCCCAAGGTCAGAGAAGAAAAGGACTGGAATAAGCCATTAGGATGCAACCAGGAACTCAACCACTAATGTGAAGCCAGATTGTAGAAAATTGTGAGTGAAGGAGAAGATGTCACTTAGGATACTTTATGAAAAAGTGGGAAGTTACAAATAAATATATTTATTTTAAATAGAGACAGCAAACAGACTATTTTTAATTTCGGTATCACTGACATACCATAAACTGCCCCTATTTAAAACATACCCATTTTGACACGTGTATATACCCATGAAACCATCAATGCATTCAAGATTATGAACACATGCATCGGCCTCAAAAATTTCTTCTTGCTTCTTGGTAATCCCTTCCTCACCACTCCCCATTTTAGGGGTTGCACAAAAATGAAAGCCTAGTTCTGTCTGACGCTATGTAGCTACTGAATTCATCTTTTCCCTTTTATCTTCACTGTGAATGACTAGTTTCAGAGTCCCATTTTCCCTCCGCAGACTATGGCAATAGTCCCAGTATCCAAGTCTCCAGTCCCATCCATCTGCTCCATCCACAATTCCTAATCTAGTCTCTACACACACCCTTTCTCTCCATCTAGATTAAGGTTAAACCCAAGCTCCTCAACATGACCTTCCAGGCTCTTCAGGATCTAGATCCTGTCTACCAACCAAGTCTTATTTCTTACATGCTCCCACCAAACTAAAGTACCTGTCAGGTACCACATGTGCTATGCTCCCTGTCTTAGGCTGGGTTATCTAGAGAAGCAAAACCAGTAAAGTGTATATTTATGTGTGTGTGTGTGTGTGTGTGTGTGTGTGTGTGTGTAAATATATATATGTATATACATATATAGAGAGAAAGAGAGAGAGTGACTGATTTATCTCAAGGAAATGGCTCACACAGTTGTAGAGGCAGGCTAGTCCCAAGTCCATGGGTCCGACGTCAGGCTGGAGGCTTCTCCTGACTCATGTAGCTGCAGGGGCTGATGAACTCAAGATTAGCAGGCAATACGGCAGACTGCTGGCTCAAGTCCCAAGAACTGGAGGTCAGATGATGATGAGCTGGATGCAGGATCCAGAGCAAGCAAGCAAGCTTTGCCAGAACATCCATGTATATATCTTGGATGCAGGCCACATCCCTGAGGAAACTCTCCTTACAACTGATTGGCTGATCATATCAGATCACATTATGGAGGATGACTACATCGTAACTGTCAAACTACATCACCACATAACTGCCAAACCACTGAGAATCATGGCCCAGCCAAGTTGACACACAACCTTAACCATCCACTACTCAATTCCTTTCCAATGTCTTTTCATAAACTATTTTCTTGGTTTAGAACAAACCACCCTAGACTATCCCCAGACCCAGGAAACTCCTAACATTCTAAAATCTAGACCAGTGGTTTCAACCAGAGGTGATTTCTGTCCCCCCGAGGACATATAACAATGTCTGGAGATATTTTTGGTTGTCACATTGGGGGAATCCTACTGGTGTCTAGTGGGTAGAGGCCAAGGATGCTGCCATACATCTTACAATGCACAAGAAAGCCCCTACAACAAAGAATTATCTGGCCCAAAACGGCAAGTGTACAGAGGCTGAGAAACCCTGATATAGATTAAGTTTAACCATTATATTTTCTGTGAAATCCTTCCCTGACCTGCCCCCTACATTGAGTCTCATGCTTTGTAGTCGAATCTACTATAATACCCAAAATATATCTTTATTTTAGCATTTATCTCCCTGTGTGATAACTTCTGATAACTTCTTTGTCTGCCCACCCCATTAAATTGTGAGTACCTTAAAAGCAAAGATTATCTTTTTCATCTACATATTCTTGATGTATAACAAGGAGATCATTCATTGGCAATTAAATTTTAAATAAACATGTATTTAATAATGAATAAAGAAGAAAAAAAAGAAGCTCTTATTCTCTTGGCTCTAACACAAACATCCTTTAAAAATTACACAAATAATACATGTTATAAAAACATGAGAAAATACAGATAAGCAAGAAAAAACAAATAGAAAAATAATTTTTTTAATAGGCAGAGACACCATCTAAAGATAGCAGAGGTAAACCCCATAAAGTAAATTTGAGAACTCTGAAAGGCAGTGCAAGGAATTCTACAGTAAAAATCCCAATATGTACTCTCTACTTACTTGAGAACAGCAATTTCTTGAACTGTTATAGCCCTTTTATCTTTGGTTCCCATGTAGGAGAATATGTTTGGCTTGACTCTGATAAGATAGAAACAAAACCATCTGAAGTCACATCCCATAAGGAAATCACATAATTTAAGTTTCAAAATAAATATACATAAATCACAATAGAATAAAGAGAATAAGGAAAAACTTTTAACTTTTTATCTAGGAAAACATAAATACGCAAGCTAAAAAAGTAAAGATGCCTGAACAAGTTCCTTCTTGGCAGTGCCTGACTTAGAACGTTTGTGGCTATTAGTGAATAACTGATGTTATTCAAAGACTTGGCTAGCCAGTTATAAAAAAGGAACTAATGCACTTTCTGTTGATCATATGCAATTCATTAGATTATATAAAACTATGAAAGTAAAATGTATTTTAGATATACGTCACTTTGAAAAGTTTATATCTTCAATTTTTTTTAAGCTACTAATAGTGTGAATTTTCCTTCAATACATGCTATTGCTTTGGATGGAGCCCTGGTGGTGGAGTAGTTAAGAGCTCGGCTGCTAACAAAGGTTGGCCGAATCCACCAGCTGCTCCTTGGAAACCATATGGAGCAGTTCTACTGTGTCCTATAGGGTTGCGAGGAGCCAGAATCATATTCAATGGCAATGTGTTTGGTTTTTTTATTGCTTTGTATAAAACCAAAAAACCCATTGCCATCAAGTCAACTGTGACTCCTAGCGTCCTTATAGGACAGAACAGAAATGCTCCTAGGGGCTTCCAAAGCTGTAATCTTTACAGAAGCAGACTGCCACATCTTTCTCCCAAGGAGCAGCTGGTGGGTTCAAACCGCTGACCTCTTGGTTGGCAGTCGAGCGCTTTAACCACTGCACCAGCAGTGCTCCCTTTGCTTTGTACAGAAAAGCCAAATGAGAAACTGTGATCTCAATTATTTTGATATGAACAAATAAGTAATTTAGTTAACTAAGAAGTATTTTATAAACTTGACAGCTCCTTCTGAACAGGAAGAAGCATCAAAGGCATTCTTGAACCTTGAGCAATCTCCAGCTCCAGATCTCCAAGGAGCTACCTTCCTGATCGTCTATTCCTGTCAGGAACTGTCTACCCTCTCAGGCTCAGGGCCAGTCTGGGTACCATGAGGTCTCTCTCCTAGGGAGCTAGTAAATAGAATAAAATAAAATAAACTGTTACTTAATTGGTTACTATTTTACCATGCTTAACCTGAGTTAAATACACATTGGAAAGAAAATTTCCATAGCATATAGATTTGCTGTGATGCCTGTAGCCATTTCTATTTAAAAAAAAAAAAACCTCAGGAATGAAAAGGCCTGCCGATCTGCTTCTGTAAAAAAGACAGCCAAGAAAATCCTATGGAGCAGTTCTACTTTGGAATCGACTCACCAGCAACCAACAACAGAAGCTCCACAGAGACATATTCAGGCTCGGTGGGAAAAAAGACTTAGCAATCAGATGTTAAAATGTTATAAAAGAAAAAAATATACTAAGAAAAAGTCTTCAGCACCTAGCCCCCTCAGTGACACAATCTCTGCTATACCGGTACGAGAAAACCTGACTGGTCTCAGGTTTTCAATCTAGCCCACCTCCAGGAATTGAGCGCTGTCAAGTTTAGTAAAGTACACCTCTGTAACCAAATCAAAGTGTAGGCTTTAAGGGAACAAAATTTATTTTCAGTTGAAAGTACGGGAACTCTCAACTGTATGTGAATTACTTACCTACAAAATTTCCATCTTGAATTACTGGCAATACGTATGGGGGTTAAAATAGGGACCCCTGGTGGTGCAGTGGTTAAAGCGCTCAGCTGCCAACCGAAAGGTTGGTGGTTCAAATTTACCAGCTGCTATGCAGGAGAAAGATGGGGCAGTCTGCTCCCATAAAGATTATGGCCTTGAAAACCTGACAAGGCAATTCTACTCTGTCCTATAGGGTCGCTATGAGTCAGAATCAGCTCGGCAGCAACGGGTATGGTATAAGGGTTAAGAAAATTAATTCATCAACTGCCTAAGAAAACTATATTTGGGAGGTAAGTTTGCTTTCCATTTGTCTATGCTCTTGTTCCTTTTTCATTAGCACAGCGAGAGGAAAATAATTTGCCGTGTTTTGATTTTGTATAGGCATAAAACCAAGGTACTCACCTTAAATATTTCGACAGTACGTTGATAGCATCCATGGTGTCTTTATTTTCCTTGTATAATACAAAGTGGCAGTAACTCCCCCTAGATTTCGGCCAAGAATGTTTTCTTGGATCTTAAAAACAAAAAATTAAATGTAATACGTACCATAATAAAAGTTATTTGAGCTTTTTCTTATGACACCCTATGAGCTCATTTTCCGCTACAGAACATGCTAGTGAGAAGTTTGATCTAGTCTGACAGGAAATACAGGTTAAGCGGTTATAGCTGTGTGGACTACAAGCACTAAACTTTCCAGGACTGGGTACTTACACCGAACACTTATCTTTCCACATTTAAAACCAAAGGCTGAAATGCAGCTGTTGTGAAAAATGCCTAAAACCAACAGGAGAGATACAAAGGAGGCACACAGTTTCCCAGTGGTGTTACCTCACAGCACACGTCTGGTAGATGAGATGACTAGCTTTCCAGAACACATGAAGTCCAAAGGGAAACAGCAGTGATGTTAGAATCTATAAGCTCTGCCTTATGTCCAGAGAGGTGTTCATACCTACTCCGGTTGGATGTCTTACAGTGGCATGTACGGGAATAAAGCTTGTAAGGAGCTGCCTCAGTGACCTTCAGCCTGTCCAAAGGCCACTTGCATCAAGTAAGTTTAGCTAATATTACATAGTGTACAAATGTCTGCCTGACAGAGAGAGCAGCTGGCATTTAAGACCTGATTATTACTCCTGGTAAAAAGGAAACTTTGAAAATCAAGCCCAGTTAAATGTTAACCTTTGAGCTAGTGTTACTTCAATTGTTCAACTCTTTTTTGGAGACTGACAGACATTTCATGACCCTGGAGAACTGATTTTGAACACTGCTCTTTTAATCGAACAATTCAACTACACTATAATCTAGAAATGTATTATTAAAACATAGTAATAGTTTGAAAAATCCACACTTTAAGAAAAATGTCAGCCACAACTGCACTCCCCAGATAATGTAAGTAACAGTTATGAGTCTTGTACAACCCTAAACTGCAGCTGTTACTTGAACAACACATCTAATTCACTTGACTTCTGTAACTCCGTGAAAGAAAAACTGAAAAAAATACTTCATACAGTCCCTAGAAAGAGTCCTCTTCTTTTAAAAATGTTCCTTCATCTGTCCTTAAAACAACCCTTTAGCAAAAATTCATGACTCCTTCGTTTCAGAAGACTTAAGATATTCCTCGTACTGAAGTTACTCGTAGACCTTCCTTTCTCAAGGCAAAAGCACCACCTGATAAGTTAGTTAATTTAAGCTAAATATAAAGAACAAATGAATCAATGAGCCATCTAGGAAAACTGCCACTGCAACGTACGCCTAGCAAATTGCTTTCGTTCCAATAAACGTTAAGTGTGATCCCCTTCTGTCTTGGACAGAAAGTATTACAAGATTTCTTTAGATCTTGGTGTGAAGTCCTCACAACTCACCCTCAGAAAATTGTGAGTAGGAATGTTATTTTAGATTCTCCTTCCAGCTTACTATCAGTTAAGTAAAACTGCCTCTACTTAGCACTTGTGACAAAAGCATTGGCATTTCATTTTGTCTACATGAAACACCAACCGCTCTTACCTGCTGCAGTTCTGACCTCTGTCCAAATGCACAGCGTAAAGAGCACAAGAGAGCAATGTTTAATTTATAATAATTAATATAATATTAAAGTGCTTTAGAGGTGAACATGCAAATGATCTCATGGTAAGTTTATGCTGTGAAATTCTATAGCATCTGGTAGTTATGTGATGGGTTAACAGCCATTTAGACATTTAACAATGGAATGTTGCAGAGGCAAACAGTGAACATGTAGAAAACTCACCTACGGGTACAAGCCTCCCTGTCTTAATCCCTTCACAAAGAGCATGTTAGTTCATCCTCAAAGCTGCACTGTCTGTACCCATGGTCTGTATACAGCAAAAGGCTTAAGACTGGATACAAAATGCTTCCTCATCTAGAGATTTACCTTCTTCAACATGGGAGGACATATACCGAAACACTATTTGTGATTATCTTTGTTGGTGAGACTGCGTCATCCTTTATTACTTTGCTTTGTGCTTTTCTGTGTTTTATGAGTTTCCTGCATTGAGTTTATAAAGTTTATTTGAAAAATTTTGAATAATTATTATGGAAAACAGTTCTCTAAAATGGAAAACTCTTATAGATTAAAAGAAACTTATCTATTGAATGCAATGCTCTGACCTTGTTTGGATCATTATTTGAACAAGTCATCTGTAGGTAAAAGCCATTTTTGAGATAATAAGGGAAAAACTGAACATGGACCAGGTATTAAATGTTAAGAAATTATTGTTACTCTTGTTGGGCATTATATAGGTCTGGGGTTTCATTCCTTATCTGTTAGATATATACTGAAACATTTATAAGTGAAATGACAAGGTGTGTAGAATTTGCTTTAAAACACTCCAGCAAGAAAAAGACAGTGGGGGAGAGATCAAATAAAAAAAACATAATGCTGATAATCGTGAAGCTGTAGATGGGTACTTAGAGCTTTAAAACACTGCTTTCTCTATTTGCACGCATGTTTGAAAATGTCTGTAATAAAAAGTTAAAAAAATTCACTTGTGATAAACACTGATGAAGTGTAGCTACATTTTCTCTTAAGTACTCCCCTTCAGTACATTCACAATCAACTATGATGGCAAGAAATAAATGAAGCCGCAAGACTGAAAAACTAAATGCTACTGTATCTTAAGAGAAACCATGACAGCTGAGTATGAGTTTTGGCTCACAGCATGCATCCTGTATTAGCAAGTCCAAGCACTGAACATGCAGACAATTCTCTCTCCTGCAAACAACAGATAGAAGTATTCATCTTCTAAGTGTACTCAGTATACATAAATTAAGCATATGCATTGATTAACTGGGAACATTTTGAATAACTGAAAATCAATGAGTCTCAAACTTATTTTGAACAATTTATTTGACTTCATAAAACTCTAACCCCTAACAATGCTAAATAGCACATAGTTAGCTTTACAATTCAAGTGAATTTAATAACTTTCAGACATTTTTGGGGGCACTCTGATCTACAATGTGAATGTAAAAAGATTCTCAGGCTGAGGTAATAGGAAGCAATGTTTTGACAGTCAGCCATGGTAGCCCTGCTCCAGAAGAAACAGAAACCAGATAAAAGGGGAAATCAAGTTCACAAAGACTCATATATTGAGCACAGAGATCCTCATGAATAAAAAAGGAAAAATGCTGTGGCTCAAGAAAGAAGACACGATGGAGTAGCATGCAGAACACTCTTCCCTTCTTTTCCAAGGCCATTCTCGCCGCTGTACCTGTGCACACCAACCCTTTCAGCCCCCTCTGGCATCCTGCTCCATCCACTATCACTCTCCTCCCTGAATTTTCACCCTCCCTCTCCACTAGTTCTTTCTCTTCAACATATACACACACATACATATATACTCAGAGCTCTTCCATCTTAAAGCCAAACCTATATTCCACTCCCCTTAACCACATTCCCTTCCTTTCTCTTCTCTTTATAGCTTATTTGAAAAACTAGTAAAAATCAGTTGCCATCGAGTCTACTGATTCATGTAACCCCATGTGTGTCAGAGTAGAACTGTCCTCCATAAGGTTTTCAATAGTTGATTTTTTGGAAGCAGATGCCAGGCCTTTCTTCCAGGGCAACTCTGCGTAGACTTGAACCTCCAACCTTCTGGTTAGCAGTCGAGCCCATTAACTGTCTGCACCACCCAGGCACTCTTTATTTGAAAAAGACAGTCTGTACTTATTGCTTTCACACCTCGACCTACCATGTAAACTGGTTTCCGACCTCAACATTTTCACTCAAACTGCCCTGACAATAAGACCAATGATTTCCGTGTTGCTAAGCTGATGGACAGAGACCTGGTGGCGCAGTGGCTAAGAGCTCGGCTGCTAAGCAAAAGGTCAGCAGTTCAAACTCACCAGCCACTCCTTGGAAGCCCTATGGGGCAGTTCTACTCTGTCCCACATGGTCGCTGTGAGTTGGAATTGACTCAGTGGCAACAGGTTTTTTAAACTGATGGACATTTTCCAGAGTTCTTTTCTTGCTGGACCTCTGTAGCATTTTTCATTGTGGACCACAGATTATTGGAATCCCCTTTTCCTACGGATTCCACAACACCAGCCTCTTCCACCGGGTTCCCTTTGTATCTGTCTGGCTCTTCCTCCTGAGTCTCTGGGGATCCCTAGATCCAAGTATCCCTCCTGGGAGCCATTCATTTCAGTGACCGTGGAGAGCCTCTACACGGCACATGGCAGAAAATTTTTACTGAAGCCCTTAAAAAGATTTTAGAGGCATTTGGAATGTACAGTACCTCAAACTGTAAATTAAGGGGAGAAATGGTTCACATCCCACAGCCTTCAGCATCTCACCTGAAAAATCTTATGGAAAATTTTTATTGAATGAAAAAAATAAAGGTGACTGAGAGACAGGAAGTGGCTGGTGGTGTTAAGCACCAAAGTTGTAGAGGAAGACAGAACATGAGAGGTCCAGCACCAATCATTTAACTGAGGGGAAAGGGTAGGAGAGCTGTAAACGGCCCCCTTGCATGAAACTCCATTAACTCTCCTCCCTGAAGATCACAAAACCTGGTATTCTCTTGAAAATGATAATCACTTCTAAGAAGCAGCTAGAGAAATGTTTTTTGCCTTTTTCAATCTGTTTCCTCATGACCACACTCAGCAGAACAAGATTTTGCCTTTCGTTATTCCTGTGCAGAGGGCAGCTGGCCACACGATGGTGACCACAGTGGGTTGCCTTTCTACAAGGAACACCTGTTTAGCACCCTTTCCAACCTGGGTTCCTTGAGAGAATTAAAACCAAATGCCCTAAGGTATCCACTGTATGTAATAAACCAACTTTCCTCCTAGACATCTAGAATAGTTACTAGCCATATACCAACCTTGCAAGAATTGAGAAAACAGTCATTTTCTATTGGGCTTAATTCTCTCAAGGAACCCTGGCCGAGAAAGCTGCTAAGTTAATGTTTCATACATGACCCAGAAATTAAAGAAACACATATTACCCCAGTAATTGGCTTCTGGAGTGAGAACTGATTAACAACCCCTGCCCCCAAGCAGGTCCACAGCATCTCATTCTTCTTTTTGCCATCTGTTACCTCTGATCGCTACCTTCCCTCCCCAGCTGCTCAAGGGTTCTCATTTCTATATCATTGTCCAGACTTGCTGATTTGACTAGATTATTTTCACAAGCATAGCTAAACCTTATTTCCACTCTCGTTTCATTAGAACCACAGTTATAAACAATTAGGCTTCATCCATTCGAAGTATTATCTTTGAAATTAACCTAAGACTGACGATGCACTAATGGTCTGAACTCTTTTTTGTTAGAGTCCCGATTTTGCTCTAACAAATATATCATGAGATAACTGGGCTGTCACTGGTAGGGGATGAGGGTGAGGAAATAATTTTTTCCTACCGTAATTGTTGTTAAAATTTCACTGGCTGATTTGACAGGTAAAAGAGGAAAAATTGTCTAATTTTTCTTAAGTTATATGCAAATAGAAATTTTCACGGCTGTGGAAAACACAGTATAACATAAATATCAAAGTGATTCAGTGACAACCTACCAATTACAAGCAAATTATACACAGTGAGATGGGCTCAGGCGAAGGGGTGGTTTTCTATGTTCCATGTTTTTTATGTGTGAGTGAAGAAGATGCTCACGGTTAGAAAGCAGAAGTTTTTTCAACAGAGGGAACTTGCAGAAAAGATGCTGCTGGAATGGGTGGTGGGTATTATTTGTTCATATGAAGGCTTTCTTTTCTCTATTAAGAACACAAAATGACCAACAGCCCTGCCACTTTCTCCTTGAACTGCCACTGTGCCCACTCTGCTTTTCAGAGAACACATCAAATCCCTGAGACTTTGTCTCAGACACTGCCATCACGTCAGCAAATCCTGGCTCACATAATAGACCTAATGCCCCAAACCAGTCCGACAGTCCGCTGTGGCAACTGAGAGGACAACATTTACCTTCTCTGAAGGAGTGACGTGATCAATATTCTCCTGCAAACAATAGCAAACCCTTGAACATAAACAGCAAAGGAGAAGGGGGAGAGGAATCTGTCTCACAACTACCAGACGAAAGTAACACCCGGCCACTCACTCACTTACTTGCCAAAGCCTTCTTTCCAGCTGCATGGTAGGCAACAATATATTTCTTCCCCTCTCTATCCTCTGTTTTTGTCTCTAATCCTGGAAACAGAGATTTAATAGCTTGATGGATGACAGTTCTTTTCTCTTTGGTATCCTCAATAACCTATTAAAAACACAATGATAACACAAATGGAACAAACATTAAATAGGGAACTAATACTAATGAATCATTAAAAACATTGCCCTTCTTATTCACTATGAAAAATAACAAAAGTGCAGGGGTTCGATTTCAGAAATATATAACTGAGTTTCACAGTATCACAAATTATAACAGCCCATTTCTTGTGCCTGTACCGGGCACTGTACCAAGGCACTTCACATTCTTCATGTTATCTAATCATCGTAATATCCCTATCATACTACCATTATCACATTTATTTACAGTGGAGAAAAGTGAGGCTTAGAGAAGTGAAGGAACATGTCTAAGGTTACACAGGTGGAGGGTGACAGAGCTGGGTTTGAAATCCAGGCTGTCTGACCCGAGCCACCAATCAGACCCTCTCTCACAAAGTCTCTTTTGGAGAAACACCTCAGGCTCATGGATGAAAACATAGGGCGAGCTGGGCCTTTGGTATGTCAGAAACACAACTCCCCCAAATAGTCCAATCTACACCTGCCTCATATTGAATCTACTCTACATGAAACTGTTTTATAACGAAGTTCTAGCATGTTTGTTCACATCATTTTTTTTAATTAAAAAAATCAGTGTGAGGGAAATAAAAACTTACTACACCTGTTCTTAATTTTTGAGTGTGTCTCACACTAAGGAATATATTTTACATCTTGAATTAACACTCACAAATGTGTATGCCTCTTATGCCTTATTGTGAGACAAATGTAAGATGCTTATTAAAAAATTGAAAAAAAATGCTCACAAAACCATGCTTTACGCTTTCTGTGTACAAAGCACTGACGTTTTCTATTTTAGTCTACTACTTTAAAAAAAAAGTTGGTTGAGATCCACTAAACTGATTTCATGACCCGCTAATGAGCTGCAACCTGCAAGCTGAAAAACACTGAGATATACTACAACTACTACTGGCGAAACATAACAATATTTTAGCAAAATATAAAAAATTGCAATTATAGATAAAAGACTCCATATCAACAACTGAGTCTAGATCTGGGATTACTGATAGCAGTGAGCTGGAATCATAGCGTGTATGTGTATGAATATGTATTTACACCACAAAATTTCAGGAATTCCAACCTCATCTTACAAAGAAATCTGCCCACAGTTTATGCCCTTTAAAGATAAAAACTTTTAGTAGATGGCATAATCATAGTTAAGATGGCAACTAATCTTGCTACCTATATAGGAACTTGCATATTATGGGGGTAAGATATACCACTGCATTGCAAACAAAGGAAATCTGCACTGTCTCCCCGGATTGCTCTCTTAGGAGTTATTCTCTTTGGCACTGCTGAAGATATAATCTATGGGTAAATTCAGGGATTGAAGAGTCATAAAGTTGTAATAGGAGTCCTGGTGGTGCAGTGGTTAAAGTGCTCAGTTGTTAACCAAAGGTTGGCAGTTAGAACCCACCAGTCACTCCATGGGAGAAAGATGTGACAGTCTGCTTCTGTAAAGATTTACAGCCTTAGAAACACTCTAGAGCAGTTTACTCTGTCGTATTGGGTCGCTATGAGTCGGAATTGACTCAACGGCAATGGGTTTAAAGTTGTAATATCATGTACTTTGGGAAGTTTTAGCAGAGGGTGGCAAATAATGAATGCTGAAAAGTTACAGTAAACTCTTATTAACTGGAAGTGATGGAAGGGAGAATTTCAGTAGCTCTTTAAAGAATTATACAAAATTAAAATTCTAAAAATCTTGTGCAACAAGATTCTAAAAATCTTGTGCTAGAAGATTCTTAAAATCTTGTAACATATTTTACTTTGCTACAGACACCACCTAGAGCTGCCCTCATCCAATACAGTGGCTACTAGCCCCATGGTACACTAAGCACTTGAAATGTGGCGTCTGAATTCAGATGTGCTACTGTGTAAAACAACACTGGGTTTCAGACTCAGTAGGAAAAAAAACAATGTGAAATAACTCATTGATAATTTTTAAAATATTGCTTACACATTAAAATATTTTAGATATATTAGGGTAAATACAATATATTGTTAAAATTAATTTCACCTGCTTCTTTTCACTTTTTTTTAATGTGATTACTAAAAAATTTAAAGTTATATACATGGCTTGCATTATAATTCCACTGGACAGCATTAATCTAGAAGAAAACTTCCATAACAAAAAGCTTTTTAAAAAGGCACTTACTGACTATTCTATTTCTTAGCTGAGCTCTCTTTTTCTTGAATATCAGAAGTGGACCCAGGCTGAGCAGAGATACATTCCCTTATCTCCCCTCTCCAATTCCTCCCTCTAGCAGAGCCCCCCAATCAGTGCCACACATCTGACTGTCCGCAGTGGCAATCCTGTTGCAGTAGCCACTATGTGATATAACAATCACTCCAAGATTCCAAACAACAGATTTTTTTGTTGATTTGAGGTCATTCAAAATTTCTTTAAACAAAAATGTATCTTTTTTTGGTCACAGTTTATCTGAACACTGGTATCCCTTTTAGACCAAACAGGGCGAGGTCATCCTTTTGTTAACCACTGTAATTTTTTAAACAGATACTTATTAGTATCCAGCCAAAATGAAGCAATCAAAACCCTAAAAAATCCTTTCATATATTTTTATACTACTTACCTCAATGGCAACACTGGTTTCCTTATTTTTAAAAAGCTGGAGTTCTTCCAAATGCTGCTTTTCTTCAGCTGTCAAAACCGTAAATACATCTTCTGAAGGATCCTTCAAGACAACCATGAGAACTCCCAGTGAGTCAAACACAGAATTCAAGGCGGTTAAAGCTCTATACAGTCATGCATCACATAATATCTGTTTGGGCAATGTTCAACTACATATATGTCCATGGTCCCATAAGGTTATAATAGAGTTCAGAAATCCCGATCGGAGAACGGGATGTAGCAAATTTAGGCATGTAGCACTTGACAATCATGACAATCCTCACGAACAAAGAAAAACTTTTTCAAGCTGTTAAAGGATCAGCTCCACTGAAAGCTACAAGGCTAACAGAAATGCGAGAGGGACCCATATCAGATATGGAGAAACTGCTAATGCCGTGGATTGAGGACCAAACAAAAAGGCGAAGGCCTCTCAGTGCTTTGATGATCACTGCTGAGGCTTGAAGCCTTTTTGAGATGCTCAAAGAAAAGCAGGACCAGACTACAACATCGGGTATAATGCCAGCTCTGGGTGGTTCAAGTACTTCAAACAACATTTTTTGTTGCACAATGTGAAAGTGAGTGGCAAGTCTGCAAGTGCTGATACGAAGGCAGCAGAAGAATTTGTTGAAACATTAAACAAACTAATTTTAGAGGGAGGTTATTTGCCCAAGTAAATTCTTAATATGGACAAAATCTTACTCTGGAAGCAAACGCCTGAAAGGACCTTCATTCATAATATGGTGTTCGCACAAGGCCCAAAACACATAATGTCTATTTCACAGAACACATCGTGGACTTTATTTCTTTTTAATTACATGACTGTGTCTCTACGATCTCTAGGAAATACTATCTTTATACAGAAGGTGATTTCTGGAACTCACGGAGCACAAACACCACAGCCTCCACCAGACTGAGTCCAACACAACTAGACAGTGCCCAATTACCACTATCAACTGCTCTGACAGGGATCACGATACAGGCTCCCGGACAGAGCTGGAGAAAAATGTAGAACAAAATTCTAACTAAAAAAAAACTACAAGATACTGCAAAATCTCAACAACAAAAAAACAAATAACCCAATTTAAAAATGGGCAAAGGATACGAACAGGCACTTTGCCGAAGAAAAGATTCAGGTGGCTAATAGACACATGAGGAAATGCTCATGATCATTAGCCACTAGAGAAACGCAAATCAAAACTACAATGAGATAACATCTCATCCCAACAAGGCTAGCTTTAATCCAAAAAACACCAAATAATAAATGTGGAAGAGGTTGTGGAGAGACTGGAACACTTATACACTGTTGGTGGGAATGTAAAATGCTACAACTACTCTGGAAATTGACCTGGTGCTTCCTTAAAAAGCTAGAAACAGAAGTACCATATGATCCAGCAATCCCACTCCTTGGACTATATCCTAGAAAAATAAGAGCCCTCACATGAATAGACATATGCACACCCATGTTCACTGCAGCACTGTTCACAATAGCAAAAAGATGGAAACAACCTAGGTGCCCATCGACAGACAAATGGATAAACAAATTATGGTATATTCACACAATGGAATACCATGCAACAATAAAGAACAACAATGAATCCGTGAAATGTAACATGGAGGAATCTGGAAGGCATCATGCTGAGTGAATTTAGTCAGTCACAAAAGGGCAAATATTGTATAAGACCACTACTGTAAGAACTCAAAAAAAGGTTTACACACAGAAGAAAACATTCTTTGATGGTTACAAGGGTGAGGAGGGAGGGAGAGGGGTATTCACTAACCAGGTAGTAGACAAAAATTATCTTAGGTGAAGCGAAGGACAGCACATACTACAAGGGAAGTCAGCACAACTGGACTAAACCAAAGCTAAGAAGTTTCCTGAATACAACAAAACACTTTGAGGGACAGAGTAGGAGGGGCAGGGGTCTGGGGACCTTGGTTTCAGGGAACATCTAGGTCAACTGGCATAACAAAGTTTATTAAGAAAATGTTCTGCATCCCACTTTGGTGAGTGGCATCTGGGGTCTTAAAAGCAACCGAGTGGCCATCTAAGATCCATCAATTGGTCCTAAGTCACCTGGAGTAAAGGAGAATGAAGAAAACCATAGACACAAGGAAAGTATTAGCCCAAAAGACAGAAAGGGCCACATAAACCAGAGACTTCATCAGCCTGAGACCAGAAGAACTAGATGGTGCCCGGCTACCACCAAAGACCACCCTGACAGGGAACATAACAGAGTCCCTGACAGAGCAGGAGAAAAGTGGGGTGCAGAACTCAAATTCTAGTAAAAAGATCAGATTTAATGGTTTGATTGAGACTGGAGGGATCCCAGAAGACATGGCCATGGACTCTCTGTTAGCCCAAAACTAAAACTATTTCCAAGGCCAACTCTTTAGACTGAACTAGGGGACATAAAAGGATACTTGTGAAGACTGTGCTGCTTTTTTTTTTTTTTTTTAAAGATGCACTTTTTTCCTTTTTTTTTAATTGTTGTAGTTAAATGAAGTTTACATTTCAAGTTAGTCTCCCATACAAAATTTTATCCATGCATTGTTACGTGACCCTAATTGCTCACCCCATTCTGCGACAGCACACTCCTCCTTTCCACCCTTGATTCTCCATGATCATTCAACCAGATCCTAACCCTCTCTGCCTTCCCATCCCACCTCTGGACAGAAACTGCCCCTTTGGTCTCTTGTATCTACTTGACTAAGAGGCACACTCTTCACGAGTATCACTTTATGTCCCACAGCCCAGTCCAATCCAAACTGTGCTTCTTGGCTCAAGTAGATACATGAGACTAAATGGGCGGCTCCTGTCCAGAGGCAAGCTGAGAAGGCAGAGAGGATTTCAGGAGCTGGTTGAATGGACATAGGAAATCCGAGGTGGAAAGGAGGAGTGTGCTGTCACAGTATAGGGAGAGCAACAAGGGTCATAGAACAATATATGTATAGATTTTTGTATGAGAGACTATTAACTTGAATTGTAAACTTTCACTTAAAAGCACAACAATTAAAAAAAAAAAAAGACTAGACTTACTGGTCTGAGAGAGACTGGAGAAACCCTAAGAGTATAGCCCCTGGACACCCTTATAGCTCAGTAATGAAGTCATTCCTGAGGTTCACCCTCCAGCCAAAGATTAGACAGGCCCATAAAACAAAATGAGACTAAATGGGCATATCAGCCCAGGGTCAAGGACGAGAAGGCAGGAGGGGACAGGAAAACTGGTAATGGGGAACCCAAGGTTGAGAAGGAGAGAGTGTTGACATGTCGTGGGGTTGGTAACCAGTGTCACAAAACAATATGTGCATTAATTGTTTAATGAGAAGCTAGTTTGCTGTGTAAATCTTCATTTAAAGTACAATTAAAAAAAAAAAAAAAAGAAGGTGACTTCTATTAGAACTACTTCTACCTCTTCATCCACTGGAACAGACAAGTCATCCAAATGGCTGATCCGTCCATCTTTTCCTATCTCATGAACAACGAAGTCAGAGTATCTGATGAAAAGAAAACACAAACTTTCAGAGATTTAACATTTTGTTTCCTATTAATTTTGGGATAAAATTTATCACCTGTAAGTCTTACTATTGTGCCAAATGGGATTTAAAAAAAAATTTTTTTTTCAATGCAAAGTCATTTCTAATTTCTCAATGAATGCTGAGCCATACCTTGGCTAAGGCTTTATATCAGAACTTAACAAAAAGGCCTTCTGAGCTTCTAGGGTAGTCTTTCAGAGAAATGCATAAACAAAAGCTTATTAACATTACCCCATGATTATACAGACAGTCCATAGTATTGTAAATCATAAAATACAGTAAATGGTTAATTAAATCAGAACCTAGCAATTCAGAAATCGTTAAGTCTACCATGAACTATACTGAAGCTTACCCTTAAGCTAAATACTTTGCACACAATATTTAAAATAGTCTCAACAACCCCAAGGTGGTGTTATGATCCATGTTTTGGATGAGGGAACGGAGGTTCAGAGGAGTTAAATAACTGTTTTAACTAAATAACTAAAGTGGCTAAACTGGGATTCATACACAGGTTCATCTAGCTCCAGAGACAACCTTCTTTCTAACGTATGATGTGGCACATTCAGGTGCATGAGTTGAAGATTATATGACTGATACAGGAGAAAACTTGAAATCATCGAAAATAAATTATCTTTAAAGAAATGAACAGAATCCATTCACATATAAACAATGCATGACATTTGGAAATTATTTCTATTATTATTCCAACAGTTGTGGGAAGGAGCTTCCCTTGATAAGAACTGATCATTATTTGCATTAAAGATATAAAAAAATTAAAGACCTTTGCTCATTTAGTCAGCTCTCTCTTGTCCTATTCCTTTCAGACCATCAATGTAAAAAATCCTCGGGGATAAAAGCTAAATGGAAGAATATATTGCTGATTTCTTTTTTAAAGAAAATAATTAATATAACTAACATAATCTTATACATAAACTACACATACCTTTCTTTTAAGATTCCTGAGAATCCTTGATGGGAACTTACAAACTTGGTAATGCCTACATCAAGTTCGGTAAGTCCATGCTTCATCATGTCTGCGAAACTCTCCACTTCCTCTTCCTCTTCACCTTCCTCTGAAAGGCCATCTTCTTCCTCCTCTTCCTCGTCTTCTAACGGAGCATCAGAATTGTTTTTACCTTCCCCAGCACTTACAGCTTCAGGCACTGCAGGCACATTCTCATCGCTGGGTAGAGAGTCACTTTCTAGCCCATCCTGACCCTCGCTCAGACAGCATTCTGAGACCTTCTGTCTTTTTACTTCCTCCCCTGGAGCTTGACTATCATTATCTTTCACGGCAAGGGACCCACGTTTCAGTGACACACCAGCCATTCCTGTGGTCTCCATTTTTAAGGCTCCAAGAAAACATTTAAGAGAACCTTTTAGGAACAAAGAAAAAGAGTAGAAAATAACAATCACCTATAAAGAAGCTGGTTTCAACCAACAAAGGCACAGTTAACTTTGTTCAGAGAGCCCTAAAAATCATTTATTAAAGTAATTGTTCCTGACATGGGCATATAGTTTTGGTAGAAAACTGAACAATACATCTGCATGGAATTTGACAGTAAGCATCTGAAGGGATCAGTCCCTGGAGAAGGACATCATGATTCGTAAAGTAGAGGGTCAGTGAAAAAGAGGAAGACCCTCAACAAGATGGACTGACACAGTGGCTACAACAATGGGCTCAAGCCTAACGATTGTGAGGATGGCGTAGGACTGGGCAGTGCTTTATTCTGTTGCACACAGGGTCACTATGAGTCGGAAACAACTCAATGGCACCTAACAATAAAAATAGGTATGCCCTTTCTGGAGACCATGGTCTCGGGGGACATCTAGCTCAATTAGCATAACATAGTTTACAAAGAAAATGTTCTACATCCAACTGTAGTTGAGTATCATCTAGGGTCTTAAAAGCCTGTGAGCGGCCCTCTAAAATACATCTACTGGTCCCACCCCATCTGGAGCAAAGGAAAACGAAGAAAACCAAAGACACAAGGGAAAGATTAGGCCAGAAGACTAATGGACCACAACTACCACGGCCTCCACCAGACCTGAGCCCAGAACAACGAGATAGTGCCCAGCTACCACTACCCACTGTTCTGACAGGGATCATAACAGAGGGTCCTGGACAGAGCTGGAGAAAAATATAGAACAAAATTCAAGTTCACAAAAAAGAGATCAGACTTACTGGTCTGACAGAGGCCAGAGAAACCCCAAGAGTTTGGCCCCTGCACACCCTTTTAACTCAGTACTGAAGTCACTCCCAAGGTTTACCCTTTATCCAAAGATTAGACAGGTCTATAGGGCAAACAATAACACACATGAGGAACGTGCTTCATAGTTCAAACACGTATACAAGACTAATGGGCACACCAGTACAAAAGCAAAGACGAGAAGGCAGAAGGGACAGAAAAACTGGACGAATGGAAATTGGGAACCCAGGGTGGAGTAGGGGAGAGTGTTGACATATCACAAGTTTGGCAACCAATGTCACAAAATAATCTGTGTATTAATTGTTTAATGAGAAACTAATTTGCTCTGTAAACTTTTACCTAAAGCACAATTTAAAAACACATATGTATGCCCTTTGACCCACAATTTTTAAGGGCTGATCTTAAGAAAACAAGTGCACAAAGTTTTATCTGTAAGAATACTCATCACAAAGCTTTCATATTAGCAAAAAATTAAGAACAGCAACGAAGCTTGGATACAAGAAATGCAGAATATGTAGAAACAATATGAAAAAGAAATGCGAAAGGTGGTTACATCTTCTTGGAGAGGAACTAGGTGGCTGGGGCCACAGTGGGAGACTTGCTGTTTTCACTGAAAGACATTTTTGTATCATTCGAATTTTTTTTATGTATATGTATTATCCATTCGAAAAACTGATTAAATAAAAGAAGTGTCTAAGAAGACACACATATTTCAGCACAGAGCAGCTTGAGAGAGGCCTACACAGGCGGCAGTCAGAATAAATACATGCATCCAAGACCGTGAGTCTTATTTGACGTTCTTGGTGAAATAAGAATGAAGGTTTTTCCTATATTACATAGGGAGACATTAAGGTCAATTTGCTAATAATCTTAGTAAACATATATAAAGAAAATAAATGAGCAGAAAATTAATATTCCAGTTCTCCAAGGGTTAGATTAACAAGAGACTCACTTACAGAAGCAGCTATAGAAAAATAATGATGATAAGCTAAATTTTAATAATTCCTACTTGATTTTGCCTGTCAAAATCAAGAATGGAAAAATAAGGTAAAGAAAAAAAGACATAGGTACCATAAATCTATTCAAAAAACAATACCCCAAATCAAATGTGGAAGGCAGATTATGCCAATAAAAAGTATGAACCCAGAGTCATCTTTGCTGAAATTTCTTCCTTTTAAAAAAAAAGACAAATACATGCAAAAAAGAAAAAGGAAAAAAAGGATCATAATGGCTAAAAATGTATATATTAGGAAAATGTCAGTAAAAACAATTTCTTTTGAAAACAAATTAAATAAAAAGAAAATGGAAGAAATTAAGAAACAGAAGCAGACCACAACTAATTAATAAAAAATGATTTCTAATTCAAATGAGAAAATATTTATTCTGTTTCAGGCAACACCATAGTTAAAAAAAATGCTGGTTTAGGAATCAAGACATTTAGTGACCCTAAAAGTATACCCTATTCCTTATGAAGTATTCTTTCTGATTGAAACTCTCTGACTGGACAGAAATGCTATTTCACTGTCATTTTATATCAACAAATCTGCCCTCACAGAGCCTGCATACACGTGAGGGAGACAGAAAGAGATCAAGCTTACATAAGCCTAGGGCCTACGGAACACAGGGAAAGGCACCACGGGGGCAGTGGGTGAGGATGTCAGAGAAGGGCTAATGAAAGACTAAAAATTAACACCTGAACCAAGTTTTGAGGAGCAAGGAGCAGTAACGTTGTAAAAATTGGGAGAAGGATGTTCAGGGTCGTGGGTGTGGAAGCACAGGAGAGCACGGAGTGCTAGAAGAGCCGCAAGGAGCTCCTCATACCTTGTGAAGGGAGAGTGAAAGCTAGGGAGGTGAGCAGAAGCCACAGCAGGATAAATGGAGGAAATTATTCATGAAAATAAAGACACCACACAAGGATTTTAAGCAGGTCTGTGACCTGGTCAGATTTGTGAGTTAGAAAGATTTCCTGGCACCTCTTGAAGATAAACAGAAGTTTGAAGACCAGGTTATTAGGCACAGTTGTAATCTAGGCAAGGAGCCCTGGTGGCACAGTGGTTAAGTGCTTGTTTGCTAACCGAAAGTTCAGCAGTTCAAACCCACCAGCCACTCCGCAGGATAAAGATGTGGCAGTCTGCTTCCATAAAGACTACAGCCTTGGAAACCCTATGGAGCAGTTCTACTGTGTCCTACAGGGTCATTATGAGTCAGAACTGACTCAATGGCAACAGGTTTGGTTTTGGGATTTGGTAATTTAGGGAACAAATTAGGGCAGCCTGATGCAACGCTGAGGTAAGGGAGACAGAAAGGAGGGTGGGTTGAAGGAACATTTAGACAGTGGTAGGGACAGGACTCGGTAACAAATGTAGGAGGAAAGAGGAAATGCTCCACGATTACCTGGGTTTTCTGCCTTGGGGACCTGAGGGAAGAGTTCCCTGATACGGGGATCCATGGATAGGTGAGCAGGTGGTGGGAGAAGATGAGCTCACTTACAGTTCTGTGGTAAGTGAGCCCCTTGGTACCTGGAGGACATCCAAATGGAGATCCTCACATCACAATGTGTCATATATACCTGAACCAACAGTGGCCAAAACCCCAGAATGGCCCCCCATTGATGATGCAGGGTCCCCAACTGGCATGACGTGTTCTACCAGGAGATCCTGATAACCTTCCAGAGATCTGAACTCTCAACAGGGAGGAAAACAAACAAAAAAACCCACTGCTGTCTTAAAAGCTTGCAAGCAGCCATCTAAGATGCATCAATTGGTCCCAACCACCTGGAGTAAAGGAGAATGAAGAACACCAAAGACACAAGGAAAGTATTAGTGCAAGAGACAGAAAGGGCCGCATAAACCAGAGACTTCATCAGCCTGAGACCAGAAGAACTACATGATGTCCGGCTACCACCAATGACTGCCCTGACAGGGAACACAACAGAGAGTACCTGATGGAGCAGGAGAAAGGTGGGGTGCAGAACTCAAATTCTAGTGAGAAGACCAGACTTAATGGCCTGAGACTGGAGGAACCCCAGAAAGCATGGCCCCTGGATTCTCCATCAGCCCAGAACAAACAATTTCCGAGGCCAACTCTTCAGATAGGGATTGGACTGGACTGTGGGACATAAAGTGATACTTGTCAGGAGTGCGCCTCTTAGCTCAAGTAGATACAAGAGACTAAACAGGCAGCTTCTGTCCAGAGGTGAGATGGGAAGGCAGAGAGCGTTAACAGCTGGTTGAATGGACATGGGGAATCAGGGGTGGAAAGGAGGAGTGCGCTGTCACAGTATGGGGAGAGCAATTACAGTCACATAACAATGTATGTATAGATTTTTGTATGGGAGACTAACTTGAAATGTAAACATCATTTAAACTACAACAATTAAAAAAAAAACAAACCCACTGCTGTTGAATCGATTCCAACTCATAGCAATCCTACAAGACAAGAGTGGAACTGCCCCATACGGTTTCCAAGGAGCAGCTGGTGGATTCCAACTGCCAACCTTTTGGTTAGCAGCCACATGCTTAACCACTACGCCACCAGGGCTCCATGTACAGCCTATTCTCAGCTTGGCTCAGGGACTTTACCTTCAGCAGAACTTCCATCTCCTTCCCCTTAAGCAGAGAACACATCAGGCCTCCTTCTCAACACCAGGCATTTACTCTTCAGAAATACCTGCTCCTCTCTCTGTTTTCAGCACCCTCCATCATTCAGCACCATCTACCATTCTCTTCTACACCTCAAACAGTTCAAGCCCATCCCCAACAGGCAGGCATTCCCCGTCTGACTGTGCATGTTCTCTCTCTGATGGGAGGTCCTCCACATCCGACTCAGACCATCCTGGTTTCACTTGTCCTGACAACTAGTATAATAAGGCAATGAGCCTCTGACTCCTGTACTTTTGTATTTACTCTCTGTCTTCCTACTTTCCCTGCCTTCATCCGCACTATCCTTCCAGGCACCTGAGTACAGTGTTTTACCCCTACCATTTTCTAGCTGTGTAAGCATCCCAAGGAAAATACTCAACTCCTCCAAGCCCCCATTCTTCAGCTGTAAAATGAAAATGATACTTGCTTCACAGGACTGTCATGAAGATTAAAGCAAAGATTAAATGAGATGATCAACATGGAGTGACTAGCTATTACTGTTGTTGTTCTTAGCTGCCGTCAAGT